AGTATAATTTGTATATAAAAAAAAAGCAATTTATAAAGTTCGATTCTTGATTTTGGTGATGGGTTCTAAGAACCAAAATCATTAAAAAATTTAGGGCCTTTCTCTTAATGTTTCATTTTCGAGTTTTGAATTCATTTTGAGTTTTGTATTCATTTTGAGATTGTTGAAAATATGTTCTTTTTAGTATTTTGAAAAATTATTTTGAAGACAACCAAAACGCGTTTTGAAAATTTTGTTTTGATTATAATTGAAGACATCGAAAATAACAAATTTGTCGTTTTGAGTTTTCTTTGTAAATTTTGTTGTTTTGGGTTTTCTTTGTAAATTTTTAACTTGTTTTTAAAAATGCATTTTCGAAAATAGGAAAGAGAACGCTTTTTCACTGTTTTGAAAAATCGAAAACAGAAAATGACTTGAAAATCATAAAGAAAACAGATTCAATTCGTTTGGTTCCATTTCTTTTGTCCACCTATTGGATTCGTGATGAATTATTAGCTCTTTGATTAATTAATTGTTCGTTTTTAGTTTATCTTCCTGTAATTGTTGATTGTTTATNAAAGATAAGAGATCGTTTTTTCACTGTTTTTAAAAATCGAAAACATAAATTGATTTGAAAATTATAAAGAAAACAGATTCAATTCGTTTGGTTCCATTTCTTTTGTCCACCTATTGGATTCGTGATGAATTATTAGCTCTTTGATTAATTAATTGTTCGTTTTTAGTTTATCTTCCTGTAATTGTTGATTGTTTATCATTTCTTTTTTTTGTTTTGATACTTCGTCACTATTAAAATGTGTTTGATATCATGTCTAACATGTATCAGAAACTGGCACGATCGAATACGTCATGTGTCAATTTATACAGTATAATCAATATATTATTTGATATCAGAAATTGCTGAATGCAGAAATGTGACTCAACTGCTGGAATGATTTTGTGCAGTGCTGGTACATTGCCAGAAGGCTTCTCTCCAAATTCGCTAGCATCCTCGGTTGAGATTGTGATGAATTTTAAAAATTCTTCTAAATTTAAATATGTTCAATTGAGATTTTAATGAAATTCAATGAAATCCTTTAAAATTTAGGTATCATCAATAACTTGTAAATTTATGAAGATTTTATTAATAGAGACTTTGATTGATTTCAAGCTTAAAATTAAATATAACCAAATATTTTAAATTTCACCGTATTTGATGAGAATTTTATGAAATTTGTGAAAATATATTCAAATTCACGAAATTTATTAGCATTTATAATATTTTAAAAGGGTACCGCTATTTACATCCACAATTTTTAAATATTCATCCCACTCTATATCAATCCCTATTAAAACTTTAAAATTTGTAAAAATTAATATTTTCATCCACGTCAAATTTCAATATTGTCCCTATAATTCATTCATTTAAACATTATAGATTCACACAAATTTTATATATTCATCAAATCACTATCAACATCTAATTACCTTTCCTTTTATAGATTGCCTTGTCGGTGCTTTGATATTTAGTTGTAAAAGTTAGCGAATATCTTTTCTTGAATATATTGGATTTTCAAAAGTACAGTGTTCACACTACCAAACAAATCTCTCCTCAAATCATATGTTAATTAATTAATTTATTTTTTTGATTATAAGCTAATAATTTTGACTATTTGTGTTTTGGTTTATAATGTAAGAATATTTGGACGTGTTGAAACTTATTTTGAAATTCCTTATATACTTTCATCTGTCAAACTAATACTTAAAACAAAGCATAAAAAGTAAGATTCAATTTTTTATATCATGAAAGAATTATAACTAAAATAATGTGTTGATTTTTTATTTTATTTTTTAAAATTTCAGTTGAAGAGGGTATTTTATGATTAGTTAGCGTTTTATAATTTTAATTGAAAATGATATTTTATCATTATTAGAATTCTAGTTAAATATAAACTCTAAAAGAGTATAAAAAGGTTCAAATGAATTTATTTAAATAAAAATTAATGGATGAATTTAGAACGATATATTTTTATTTAATTTTTTATATTTCCATTTAGGTAAATTTATATAAAATTTAAAATATAATATAATTATATTTTTAAAAGTGGATATACAAATCGTGGATATAAATAGTACAAGGGATGGAAATAAAAATCCGTGTTTTATTGATATTAATTTTACTTTACCCTTTGTGGAAAAGATCATTCATACCGAATTTAACGACAAAATGTTGGTTTGTTTATCCACAATTGGATAAAAATCATTTATCGATTCGATTCTTTTTTCGAATATGTATTTACTCGTTTTGGTCAATAGTGGACCAAGAAATATTGAATGGTAACGTGAGCAGGGTATCGAAAAAAATACAACACCTATGGATTTTTTCAGATTTGGCGACCATCTAAAATCTATTTTCTAAATAATATAATGCTGCAACAGACCATGAATAAAATTTTAATATCGTCAAATAAAAGATACCAAACAATGAATGATTGCTGCAACTGCAAGCCACAAGCATTCGCAAGAGAAAATGATGAATCATTATTTATTTAACTTCATTACAGAAATTATTTCATCATTTCAAGCAAATAAAAAGAAAAACCGAAATTGCGAAATAGGAAGGAAACCTATTACCAATTGCCAAAAACAAAAACTTGTCTGGAAAAACAAGTCAAAAATCAAAAATCGCAAAGGAAGACACACTTTCTTCTATTTTCCTTCCCCTTCGAGAAAGGCGAGGACTTCTTTCTCGGTTGGGAGAGCTGGGATCGCCCCCTTTTTAGTTGTGGTGATTGCTCCACAGGCACATGCAAATTTAAGTACTTCCTTCAATCTATGCTCGTCCTGGAAATCAAGAAATCGATAGAATCAGCGTTCCGTAAATACTAAACATAATTAGAACGTGAGATATACTAACAATATTATCAAGAAATTACCTGGATTATGTCATGATCGCTAACAATCTTACAGAGAAGGGCTCCTACAAAAGAATCGCCAGCCCCTGTTGTGTCCACCGCCTTGACATTGTACGCATCAACTGATCCGTGGAAGTTCTATTTACCAACATAAGGGACAAAGCCAAAGTTAAATTTTATATATGACACAACTATATACAGTTTTCTCGGCATAAAATTCACGAGTCCTGGCCTGGTTGATCCTCTCAATAATTCACAAGTTTTGCAAATATATTAATAACCGGGAATATATTTTTGCTATCTTACTGATTCACATAAAGGAAAAAAAAACATGGAATATGAAAAAGGAATTTATTATAAACGAACAAAAAGGTAAAGAAAAAGAAAGAACAAATGCAAAATCAAAGTATATTGGAATCTAAGATAGAGGGTAAGTGACAAGGCGTAGTTCAAAATGGGCTACTTTTGGTAGCTTTTTGAAGCTGGGAGTTCCTACCAGGAAATTGTTTTTATTTTTATTTTTTATGTAGTAATGAATGTCCCTTCAATGAATCATGGTAAAAACATTATTCTTTTAGTTGTTTCCTTGTTTTTATACCTCAAGACAACCCAATAAACCCAGTATTTCAAACTTAATAGAATGAAACCAAAAATTAATTTAGAGCCACAAAGAAATATTTATGAGATGCAGAAAATGCAGCCAGAGATATGTAGCCCTGTTTGGTTCAGTTTTAAAAAATAGATTAAAATCTAAGTCAAAGTCAATATTTAATTTTAATCACATGGACCCACAACTTTTCAACCATACATTCCATCAACTTTTATAAAAATCTAATTTTTATCTAATACTACTATCTTATTTAAATATAAAGATTTACTGCCAAATGATAACATCAAGAATAGCACAGTTTTCCATAAAATATATAACATGGACAAAGGCTGTTTCTTCTTTTAAGAGCTTCACCTACTCATCATGGCATTAATGCTCTGAAGTGGAGAAATTAAGAAGATGAAACTAACAATTAAACGTACCTTAGTGTAATATCTGCAGCCGTTTTCTCCAAGGGTCACCAAGAGAAGCTTCAAATTATCGTGCCATAAGGACATTGCCGAAGCATCATCAATATTGTTATTCCCTGTGAGGAACTCTAGTTCAACATCACTGACCTTGATCACATCCGCCTTGTCCCAAATGCTCATGATTTGCTTTCGGGCCTCGTCAGCCGAGGGCCACAGTGGCAGCCGGAGGTTGGGGTCGTATGAGAGCAATGCCCCGGCATCCTTGGCCACCTCCATTGCCTTCAAATGTGCTGATCTACATGGCTCCACAATCAAGCTTATCGATCCATAATGGAACACTTTAGCCTGTGGAAATTTATGCAAACAAGCCTTTTGAGTATACATGATTCATATATCCATTTTGTCCAAACTATATGAAAGATAAATATAGAGCCCCGGCTTTTGTTTCTTGTAGAAGATAAGTCTCTACCTTAGGTCAACTTCCTCTAAATTCTCTTCTACACAGACAGAGAAATTTCGGAACATTATCTAAGCATGTTCAACCGTTTCAAAAACAGCTTTTGACTTTTCAAAAAACCGGTCAAAAGGGCCCATATATATCTTACAAACAATTTGACCTCATAGTAGAAACAATGAGAAATTTCAATCGTTAAATGAACATTCAATGTGCCAAATACCTATTTTTCTCATCTTTTACCCTTTGGCTTATACGAATTCGAAGTAGAGGGAAGAGGGCACTTAAGTTCAAAGCTTATCGACTAGCAACTAGATGATTCAAATGCATTAGGCAAAATTATTGAAGATTGTCTTTTCATTGGGAGTAAGACTTACGTTTGTCATTCCATCTTTGTGCAGGCATGAGGATATATAATAAGGTATTATAGTGTTGTCTATATTTAGGAGTATTTAACAATCCTCATCCTTTATAAGTGAAATCCCAATAACACGGCCCTACTATTCCTCCTTAAAATATTGCATTTTAATCTTTTATTAGCCACCTAACGGCCCTACTATTACTCCTTTTTCATAATCTTTGACCAAAGACTTGTTCACAGTCCTAGCCTAAGCATGCGAAAAATCCGGATCCAAATTGAAATGGATCTGAGAGGAAAATCCACCTGGGCCCAATTAATGAGTCAGTGGGCCCACTTGTGCGGCGTTTAGTAAATCACCATGACAGTGAGTGGCGGCGCGTAGAGAAAACAGCGCGCGTCCGCAATTACCATTTGCATCATCCGCCTCACAGAAGGCCAAAAATTTCTTCACACTTGCTTGGATCAGAAAATGAACCCCAGAAAATTGCTATTATGCTATAATCGTCGTATTCTTATTATCAAGAAACTAATTTTTTTTTTCTTTTTTTCAATTTTAAAATGAAATTTCTTGATTTATTAATAATTACTAAAAAAATTAACAAAAATAATTCAGAATTATCAAAGAAAAAAATTTGTATATAGATCATAATGGTCATTCAAGTTGATCAGAAATCAAGAAAAATATCAACAATTAAAAAACAAGAAATATCCATATAATAAAAACAAGATAGATCAACCGACAAACAATCCAATTTTTATATATATGTAATATATGTATACAATTGGATGATGCGACACTTACGGATCTAATGAGCTCGAGATTCAATTCATCGGGAGTGAGCATCATGTCAGCACTTGGATTCCTATAGAACATGAACTCACGCTCTCCATCAGCGCGTAGGGTGACGAAAGCGAGGGCGGTGCGTGCACCTTTATCGAAGGGGATGCCATCGGCGGAGACACCGTTTTCCTTCAGGATACCGGCGAGCATGTGACCGAACTCATCGTCACCGAGTTTTCCGATGAAGGCGGCCTTTCCGCCTATCCTCGCCACCGCTATCGCCACGTTGGCCGGAGCTCCACCAGGTGCCTTCAAGAATCCCGGCGCCTCCGCCAACGACACGCCGGAGACCGTCGGCACAAAATCGATTAACATCTCACCGAAACTCACGATCAGGCCATCGGAACTGCCGTTTGAAGCCATTATGATGATTCAGAAACTGAAGAAACGATCTTGTATGTATCGATTAGAGACAGAATAGAGAAGAGAAGAAGGTTGATTATGGAGGAGTTTATATAGGAGAAAGGAACCGGTGGGGGTGGAATCTAACTAGCCAGAGAAAGAAAATGATTCGATTTAAAAAGATAATTACTAATAACTAATTAAACTAATTTTATCCAAAATAAATATTTAATAAATTTAATTTTTGTAATTTATAATTTGAAATTATTGACTATCAATTTGACTCCTGTGTGATAATTTGTGAATATTACCATCAACTCATTTTACTCCATATTATCAAGGCAACCAGGTGAGTATGGAACGGATCGTCTATTCGCACCCCCGTCTCATCGAATATTCTTGTTATCTTGTCACATCCACGTACCCATTTAAAGTGGGACGGGACGAGATAGAGGTGAGGTGAGGTGAGGTGGGGTGAGGCGGGGCGAGGCTGGTCCTCTGCCCAATTTATTTTTTTCTTTTTATTTTTTATTTATTTTATGTTTTTACTTAGTAAATAGTATTACTTTTTTACCAATTTATTATAAACAATTTATGTTCTCTTTAAAAATATGATAAAACTATTATTTTTGTTTGATAAAAAACTTAAATTTAAAATTAACTTTAAATGGGACGGGTAGCGAGACGGGGACTATGATTCCCGTATCCACCCTGTACCCGCTTCGGGGCAATGACCCCACCCCATTTACCTGATTAGGTAAGTAATTCCCGTCCCGTTTGAGGCAGGGCCCTACGGGTTTCGGGTTGAATGAGGCAGGGCCCATTTAACCACTTGGTTGACAGATGGATGATGTGGCAGTTTTATAATGGTTGACAGATGAATTCCAACTTTCATGACTTTTAAAAATGAATTTCCTAAATAAAATCTTATTTAGAAAATGACCAAATATGTTTTTCACTTAGTCAACGTTACAAATTAATTAATATATGTGAATGATCATTGTATTCGTACAACCCTAATTGTAACCTATAAATATGAATCTTGATCTTCAAAAGAATGCGTGTACGTCTATTATCTCCCTATTTTATTCTCTTATATTTTTGTCGTTCTTTTGATTTCATAACATATTATCAGCACGAATATCTCTGTTGTATAAAGAAAGGCATTGAGTTTTAACTAATTAAGTTCACACAATAACTCTTGTTTTCCGTTTTCTAAGAAAATGACACAATTCTCTTATAACGAAGCGGTAAATGTTATTTTGATTATCTCTAATTTCGTTAATTTAATGTTATTTTTAATTATTTACTTGAGAAGACCAAAAATTATCTTCCTAATTTTATGAGTTTGTCATGAACAAAATAATTTATTTGTATTTTTCTTAATTAATTTTTTTTAATTGCAATGGATAATGATTGATAAGTATATTTTAATGAGAATAGGTAGATTCAATTTGGGGTGGTTGGGGGTGTGGAGTCATAACCAAACTTAGTTGAAGCTACTTGATTTCTATCATTAAACCAAATTGAACATCATCGTAAAGGGATAGGAAACCTAATGAATTTATATAATTAAAATTGGATTAAAAGTTAAGTAATAACTTAAAAACTAATTTAATTAGTTAAAAATATAGTTTTATAAATCACAATTTTGACACTACCAATTTCTTTTCATTTATTTTGATAATATGGTACATATATTCAATACTCCAAAAGTAGAGCCACGCTTGGCAGATTATGTCAGATATAATTAAATATGACACCTAACAAATATTTGAGATATCAATTATATTTCATGATCGGACAAAATATATTTATTAAATAATACTAAAATTTTAAATTAACATTTATTTAAATCCTAAAATATCCTCGTCGTCGTCTTCTTCTTCTTCCTTCTTCCGCCATTTTCAGTCCAACCACCCCTCCCCTTGTATTTTGCATTCTCTGCTGTCCGTTACTCACCTTCCAACCACAATGTCGATCCCCTCTTTACGCATCGGCGCTTAGGTTGTACGGAAACAGAAGAGGAAAATGCAAAACGACACGACGCGTAAGAATACTATTTCTAAACGGTAGGATATCAAACAATTTAATTTTTATAAATCAAATAAGTAATTCAACTCAATCTCGAATCACTTGTTAATTTTATTGAAATATAAGAATCAAAGCATGAAATTATGTCCCCGTTTGATTTAGCTAATCTATAATATATTAAATATCACATTAAGTGCATTTTTGATAAAATTTATTTGGGAATAATGAGTTATGGAATAGTGTTTTTTGAAGAATGTTTGGTTAAAAAGTAAGAAAATTTTATTGGTTTGTGTGTAGAATGTTTTATTATGTGAATGTGTGGTGGAGAAACGATATTGTAGCAAACAATTTAATTTTTTAAAAGATGACAAACAAGGCCTAAATGAGAATAACTTTTTGGATGATAATAGTCTTATTGTAATTCAATTATTTTAATAATACATTACTTTTCGTTTTTCAAAATGCATTTATTTATTTAACCATTTAATTACCATTAATGTACATGTACGTTTGGTTTATTCATTTCACATGTGTGCTTTTATTAATGTATATATTCAATGTTATTAATTTTCAATTAATTAGAAATCACTTTCATTTAATTAATTCTAATTATAAATTAATCAGAATTTCACATTTAAGAGTGCATTTCCTTATTCACGCCATGTATACTAATTAATATCTTGTTTTACTTAATTGAAAATTAAATAAATGATTTAATATTTATTGTCACGTATATATCCCCTAATATAAATTCTAAATTAATTAACATTTGTACATATTCAAATATCACTTTAAAAGCACTTATAAAACATTTCAAAGTAACGCACAAAAAATTAATTATTATTTAAAAAGTTAAAACCCACAAAAAGTCCAAAAACGTATCGATTCTTATTTTAAATTTTCGAATATTTTTGTCAAAAAGTTTCCTAAAAAGTATAGGTAAAGTTTCCTCAAGATTTTC